TTGCATGGTCCCATTAATTTTCTTAACTAGAGCGAGCAGAACAAACAAGTAGGCTGGCCCCCTTTCATGTCTTTCACTAATAGTTGTAAACCTTCTGTTGTGATATAAAAGCTGCTTATAATATCATTAACATCTGTGTAGGCTCACTTTGAAACTTGCTGGTGAGCCTACATTTTTCCTTCTCAGAAAGTTTCTGTTCTGGTTAAATACTCCAGTTGCTCCTTTCTAAGCTGGAGCAGCCCCAAGGAGAGAGTGTCTTGGAATGCTTCCACCTCCAAAACGGTCTGAGCCTAAATGGCAGTTATCACCCCCTCCAAAGCTGCAGGCCTTACAGCTGCCAGTTGGGCAAGAGCCCGAGAAGGCAGATGGAGTTGGAAGTGCAGCCTGAAGCCACGCCAACGCTCTGGGAACTGTGGAAGGAGGGCACTCCGGGTCCGCTGGTCCCCACAACGGCAGCCCAGGTCTTCTTCTCACACTTTGAATGAGCCAGGTTGGGTCTGCATCACCTAGGAGAAGGAAGGTAGACCTCGGAGCAGCAGGGAGCGTGACTCACGAGCGCTCCTAGAGATCTCTCCCCTGGGAACCAGCGGCTGCAAGCTGACATCCATTCATCCTTTGGCTCATTTGTTCAGGCATTTACTGACTTTTCCTTGGGGCCAGACAGTTCTAGACCCTGGGGATAAGAAGATAAAAATCTTTGTTTTCAAGGTGTTCCTCTCTAATGGAGGAGACAAGTAGAGAGACAAAACATAGAGTGAAAAGTCTACACTAGAACATGCATTCTCGATGGGGGCAAAAATTGGTTCTCGGGCAGCAAAGAATCTTAGATATGACATTACCCTCCCCAACTGAGTCTTCTTCCTTTGTATTTAATTTATTTTGTAAGGGAGAATTTTAATTTAATTTTTTTCCTCGGCGGGGGGAGGGGGACAAGAATTAAAATAAGCAGTTGAGAAACATTAAAAGAATACACTGCAGCTGTGCGGTCTCTCAGAAAGGCCTCTAGTCCCAACTGAGGAGCCAGGAAGCCTTCCTGAAACACAAGGCACCTGAGCCAAGTTGCAAAGTAAGAGTAGAAATTCTCCACGGGAGAAAAGATGTGTGTGCACAGGGAGTAACATGTGCCCCGTTAAAGATGTTAGAAAAGTGCTTTTTAAGAAACTGCAGGTGGTTCATTGAGGAGAGAAGTTAGGGATTGTGATGGGAAAGGGCAGTGTGAGCCTCTGCCGACATGGAGGCTGCAGCTCAGCTCTTGCAAAGGGGTTGATTTCCTTCTTGAATGGGGCAATCAATGAGAAGCTTCAAGGAGGAGAGTAAAGTATTCAGATTTATGCTTTAAACAGGAAGAGAAGGAATTATATGTTGGCAGCACTGGTGAAAATAGATGTGAGGGAAAGAGGCAAAGATTGGATCGCAGGCAGGACAACAATTTAGGAAGAAACCGTTGCTGTGAAAAACTGGGCAGAGCTGAGGTGGGGCCTCCTCTAGAGCAACGGGCAGTGCATGCTCTGGGAACCTTGCCTGGTGGGCAGATGGGCCATCGGGTCTGGATGAGACAGTGTACGGGCAGCCACCACCACCATCATCTATGAAAGTAAGGAAACCAGACTAATTAAATATCTATTTATTCGAGGCATCCACGTGGGGTTTTCTAAGGGAATTAATATCTTTTTCTTTTAAAAAATTTTAGGATGAAAATTTCAAATGTATTTTAAAAAATAGAGAAAAATGGTGTGATGAACTATCATACATCACCTAGCATCAATGATTATTAACTTATGATTGATCTTGCTTCATCTATATTCCCCCCAATTTCCCCACCTCACCCACACACTGAATTCTTTTGAAGAAATTCCAGACATCATATCATCCCATCTTGTAAATATTATTAGCATATCCCTAAACAATACTCTTTTAAAAGACCTCTAAACTATGTAACTAAATATCATCACATTTAAAATATGAGCAATAATTCTTAATATCATCAAATATTCACTCAATGTTCCCATTTCCCTGATTTCATATACACGTAAAAATAAATGGATAGGTAGGTAGATAGATAGGTGACAGATAGATAATTTTAAAACAGTTGGTTTGAATTAGGACCCAAAAAAATCTACTCATCACTTTTGGTTGTAATGTCTCTTAAATCTCCCCTTTATGGCTTTTATTTCTGACAGTTTACTTGTTGAAGAAATCAGAAATCATCTTCCATTTCTGTCACAATCTAAATACAGCATCCCTCTTCCTGCTTCCATCCCAATGTGGTCTCAGGAACATGTCCTTCTTCGTTAAGACGCCACCATCTTCTCGATTTGCATCTCCATCACTATTTGTCCCCACATAAGATGACCTTTAACTGACTGTCCTGAACCTATTTACTCCATCTCTGGTGTTAGTTTGTCATCTTTGTGATACAAGGTGCAGAACTGTCCAGAAGTAACACAGGGCGCTCCCTCTGGTTGCCTGAAGACTGAGCTAACCAGAACCCGGTTCTGCCCGTCTCCCAGGGAGCAGGACTGCACGCACGTGCGGCTTCCCATGGACCAGTGGTGGTTTTCATCCGGCTTAAAGTCCCAACTGTAATTTCCCACAGGTTCCTGGGCTCCAGTGCTGGGCGCTGTCATTTCCTACAGCTCCCATAAAGAGCTGATGGCAAATCCAGAAAGCTTGGTGCCCATTGACAAGGTTGCATACACACCCACACTGAATGGCCAGCAGAGTGCCCAGTGGTAACAATATTGAACTATGCCAGGGTTTGCTAACCAAATGACTCTCCTCTACTTTCATCCAGAATATAGTTGGTGGCGCAGGCTGCAAAGCACATATAAGATACCCAAAAATACCCTCTTCATTTATGTCAAGCCACTTCTGAAGGGTGATGATATATCATGGTGTAGGAAAACTTAGACTTTTGACCTCTGCCTCCATTTTTTGATTTCCCTGTGTTTCGTGGTGCTTCTCTCAGAGGCTCCTTAGCAGACTATCAACAGCCTGTTCACCACAATTTGAGTCGAAACCTGGAAGAAGTTTGTGAACCATCAAACAGAGCTATTGAAGGCTTGACATGGAGCTGCCCTTATAAATTTGATTTTAGATTTTGAATTAGATTTTAGATTAGGTATGTATACCCTAAAATGTTGATCTAAACATGGCAGCATGTGGTAGATGGTCTTTAGTTCTCTATGTTTGGAGCATATTAAGAGTAGAGCATCGAGGGGCCAGCCTGGTGGCGCAGCAGTTAAGTTTGCACGTTCCGCTTTGGCAGCCTTGGGTGCGCCGGTTCAGATCCCAGGTGCAGACCTATTTACCGCTTGGCAAGCCATGCTGTGGTACGCATCCCACATAGAAAGCAGAGGAAGATGGGCATGGATTTTAGTTCAGGGCCAGTCTTCCTCAGCAAAAAAGAGGAGGATTGGTGACAGATGTTAGCTCAGGGCTAATCTTCCAAAAAAAAAAAAAGCGCATAGCATTGAGGAAGGGCCAGCCCCAAGGTTAAGTAGTTAAGTTCACATGCTCCACTTTGGCAGCCCAGGGTTTCCATTCTGATCCTGAGCGCAGACATGGCACCACTCATCAGACCATGCTGAGGTGGCGTCCCAGATAACACAACCAGAGGCACTCACAACTAGAATATACAACTATGTACTGGGGGCTTGGGGGAGAAAAAGAAGAAGGAAAAAAGAAGATTGGCAGCAGCTGTTAGCTCAGGTGCCAATCTTTAAAAAAGAGTAGAGCATTGAGGAAGTGGAGGTGATGGGTACATTCCAGAACTCCCAATCTATGGCCGGAGGTGAAGTAAGTGCTGGTGAGAGGAGATGTCGCTTCCTACGTTACTCTATAGACCTTTATTTTATATTCATTGTAACTCTTCACTGCACACACATAATTGAATTGTTAATTCAAGCTTTTCTTTCCCTCCTTATTTTAGGGTTTCATATCATAAATGAACAGCTGCTCATTGCAGAAATGTGACTGTATGAATGCCTTGCTATGACACAGTCTGACTGCAAAGCTGACTGTTTTGTTAAAGTAGCTACTGGGCCATTTCATTGTATCCTTAGGTAGAGAAATGAAACAGCTCCTTAACCATTCCCAGCTCCCAGGCCCTAGGAATAAAACAAGAAATGCTCAAAGGCTTTAAGCATGTCATAAGGAAATAAACGACTTCATATTTGCAACCTTGACAGCCATGAAACGCAGCCATGTTGAACGTGTCCCATGACATCTGTCAGGCCAATGCTCTAGGCAGACCACAGTAACAATGTTTTCCTTCATACTGATGTTAAATAGTGAAAACTAGTTCATGACAGTGTGGCAGCCTGGTACATGCTACTTTCTGAAACATGATATGGCTTTTGATCTCCAGGGCAGAGAAGAGATTGTCACTCAAACTTCTGCTTTCATATCCGTGAGTTCGTCAATAGGATTCACGTTGTAAGACACAATCAGTGGAATGATATGTAGGGGATTCTAGATTTCCCAGCCAATCTCTCTAAGCCCCATTTAACCATGTGTATGTTGGTTTGCTCCAACCCTGAGTAAGATCAGCTTTTCTATGTTGAAAGTTAGTTTGCTTGTAAAGCCTGAAAGTAAGAGTTACATGGCTCGACCTCTTTGTCCCTGCATGACTCTCTCCTCCCATATTGCCTGCTCAGCCATGTTCATTCCACAGGTATTTATGGCATGCTTACCAAATGCTGAGCGAGCTTGTGCTAGGCATGGATGCAGTGGAGGGGCTACAGGGCCAACTGGGTGGGTCACTTACAGGGTCAAAACGTAAGTCATTAGCCGGTGAACCAACACTGATGACAACTACCTCCCTGTATTAGATTTTAATATCCCACTAAGGAAATGCTACTTCCCAAAATAATTATTTTCTGATACATAATGCTTTGATGATGATGTTTTGAAATTCTTATTTTATGTATGAATATATGTGTCTTATTACTTTGCTTTTTCTGAAGAAATCAATTATGACTCCGTGGCATTTATTGCAGATGAGCAAGAAAGTTCTGGAGCAATTATTTACACCGTGGAGCTTAAGCGCTACGGGGGACCCCTTGGCATCACAATTTCAGGAACTGAAGAGCCGTTTGATCCTATAATCATTTCCAGCCTCACTAAAGGGGGATTAGCTGAAAGGTAAAATTTGAAGGAATTGGTACAATTATGTGTGTCTGAGATGGGTTTCCTTCCTCTCAGCCACGTAGAAACACTCTCCCTTCTGCTGCTTGGTTATCTGTTGTTTTTCAAATCTGCACAAAGGATTGATTGTACAGCTTGAGGACTCTCAGGCAGAGCTCCCACTTGACTGTGAGGGGCATCTTACAGGCGGTAAAAGGTGTCACACGTTTAGCATTGATGTTAGTCTCCAGAAATGTATAAACTGACCGCAGTCGACTGGAAGTAGATTTATATTGTGTCCGTTTTGAGAAGAGGAGACTAAAGTTCAGGGAGGTTAAAAGGCTTGTCCGATTCAATTCAGCAAATATTTACTGAGCCCCTATTGCCTGACAGGGACTGGCCTTGGCAGTCGTGTTTTCAGGAGAGGATGACACAGGCTTTGTCCTCAAAGATGTCAGGAAACAGAGTGTAGTGATCCATCTTAATAATACCTTGTAACTTGGAATGCCCGTTTGTTCCTCTGGCAGTGATGCACACACACCCCTCCTCCCCACATTATACTGCATTTCTTTTTAGACATGTTGTAGGGCATATTCCAAGCCCTATAACCAGGTCTTTCCTCTGGTAACCCAGCTCAAGATGCACACCCATCGTTCCTGCTGACACTTGGAGACAGTGCTTTGCAACATAGAGATGTAGCATTGCAAGATTTTGGAGCTGCAAGGTACCTTAGCAATCCGCTCATCCAGCATCTTCATCTGTCAGATGAGGGCCCTGAGGCAGCTCACACAGGGCCACGCTGTTGGAATTTCACATCCTGCTATTAACAGAGACCCCTATGATACAGCATCCTTCAGCTGTCCTCCTGTCCTGGGTTTCTCTGTTAGGGAGACAACAAGAAAAGACTCATATTGATCTGCTTCAGCAACCTACTGGTCAAGTGTTCTCTGGCTTACAACATAGATCTTTCCTAAACTAGAGATTCTGTATTGAAGAATAAAGTGATTTTTTTTCAGGGAAAAGAGTTCCTCAAGAGTAGATGCACTGGTGGCCTTGTGAAGCAGCCCTCATAACCTGTATGACCCAGTGTCACTTCTGTTGCCCTGGTGGCTGCTGCCCAGCACCCCGGAAGCAGGCTGTGGTCAGAGCCCTCCGTCACAGCAGCCCTGTGCGTTGGGCCAACTCCTTCACTCTTTGCATTTCAAGTGAGCCAGGGCAACAGGAAGCTGGCACCTGCAATTTGCACTCCACAGCCTTCAGTCAGGGGGAGAGATCTGAGTTTTTATACCATCCCTGAGCTTGACTACTAGGAGTCTACTCCTTCCCACCCAGAGCTTCCAGAAAAGATAGATAATGGCGAACATTAGAATTAGAAATTGCAATCTGCTAGTTCACAGTTGGGTGAGGATGGGAAGAGAAGGGGAAAGGCCAAAGATTTTTTAGGTTATTGATCACTAAATTAATTTTCTTCTTCCACATTTCAAGCAGCATGCTAGACCCCTCACTCAAATATGTTTTCCTTTTTAGTCCTCAGGGCTTCCCTGTGAGATGAGTATGTCATTGTAGTGATGAGGAAACCGACACCCAGAGAGGTTAAAATAAGGTGCCCAGCAGAGGGGGAAGTGGTGTACCCACAACATGACTAACAAAAATGTACAACTGAAATCTCACAAGGTTGTAATCTATCATAACATTAATAAAAAAAAATAATAATAAGGTGCCCAGGTCACACAGCGGGTAGGTGGCAGAGCTGGATTCACCTGTAGCACTAATTGATTCCTGAATTCAGACTTTTCAATCCTTGGAATCACCAACGGGGGGCCCTGCCATACCAGGGTCTGGTGTCTGTCCCCGTCTCTCTGAGCCTCACCTTCCGTGAGCCGCGGTAATGATTATGTTCAACATTTTAAATCTGTAGAAAGAAGGAACGCTCCATGCTAAACATTGCTACATTTATTGTTCAACATCATTTATTTCCTTGGGATTTTTTTTAATTGAGGTAAAATTGGTATATAACATTGTATAAGTTTCAGGTATACAACATTATAATTTGGTCCTCAGGATTTTTAAGAGAGTTACCAAATGACTCAGCTTTCTTGGAATTGGAAAAGCACACAAGTCCATTTTAAATACTAATTAAAACAATTTTTCTAATTTTATTTGGAACTAAAAAGTAAGTCACAACAGATGCAATTATCTGGTAACATTGCCCAGGAGAAAGCTAGAAGTGGCTTCTAGAGGCCTTCACCCAGTCTTTATTATTATGAATATATAAAGGATGTCAGGGACTTTATATTCAGTAGCGTGCAGGGATTATTTCTACCTTTCTTATTACCGTTTGGTGTTTCAGAACTGGCGCAATCCACATAGGAGACCGAATCCTAGCCATCAACAGCAGCAGCTTGAAGGGGAAGCCCCTGAGTGAAGCCATCCATTTGTTACAGATGGCGGGAGAGACTGTCACCTTGAAAATTAAGAAACAGACAGATGGTAAGTGGGTCAAGAGCCACGATTAAGGATTTCCAGTGCATTTCTTTTCCTATGTGTGTATTTCTAGGGAAATGGCTCTCCAGCCAGCAAATGTTTGAATATCTTTTTATTTAAATTTACTCTCATACTTAAACTCCTTTCCTGTCTTTAAAGCTCAGTCAGCATCAAGTCCCAAGAAATTCCCCATTCCCAGCCACTTGAGTGACCTGGGAGATGTGGAGGAGGACCCCTCTCCAGCACAGAAGCCAGGCAAGCTCGCCGACATGTACTCCTCCACTGTGCCCAGTGTGGACAGTGCTGTGGACTCATGGGATGGCTCTGGAATTGATGCCAGCTATGGCAATCAAGGTATGTCCTAGCCTTGGGGAACAGAGGATTTGTCCATGTTGAAGCCTGTGTTTCTCAAAGATCCACCCTCTGCTCTGTGAAGAGAGTGTCTTTATTTTACTTGTGTCTGCATCCATGCAACCACATTGAATATGGTGGCCTTCATGCTGATCAGTCATGAACATTTATCAAACAGTAGCGGGCCCCCGTTACCTCTGCTCATGTCCAGGAGCTTGTCCGTCATAGATTAATCTGAGGCAAACCGTGCAATGTAATGCTTCACTGAAGACCGCCCCCACTGTCTTACTTTGTTAGCAAGCTTTCCACAAGGATGGAGTGGGGGGTGCTGGGGTGCGCGTAAGAGATTAGCCCATGATTTGTGATCCAATTTATTCCTTCCTCCTCCTGACCTTTAATAGAGACTTGTACAAGTTTCCCAAAAACTCACTATTAGAGAGTTGTGATCACTATGTATATGTAGTAGATTTTTCTTCATACAGATCTACTTCATGTGAAGAAGCATAAGCTACGTTAAAACTTAAATCTCACAAACAGAACAGGAACCACAAAAACTGTTAGACTGAATCAAGAGTATCAACTAAAAGCTTCTCTTAAAAATGTTTCCTTCCCAATGATACATAGCATCAAAAGTTCTTTGTATTTCTCCATATCTGAGCCTGACTTTCTCTGTAATGCCTTGTATAAATTCCACACTCTGAATCCCTTTTCTGCTCTGGATTTCAGTCAGTCAGAGAATAAAATATGTAAGTGAACAGTTTGGGGAGCATGTGTTAGGGTATGAGGTCGCTTTGTAACTCTGTCAACTGCTTTTTAGGAGAGTGTGTATCCAGTCTGCTCTCTTCCTGCTTGTCCTAGTTTCTTCTCTCAGCTTTTGCCTTTGCCTGTGTCCCTCTCTGTGAAATCCCCTGAAGGGTGTGGTGGAGAAAAATGAAAAGAAATGATGCTTCAAGGTTGTCAAGTTGTTAAAAATGATATTGGAGTTTGATAGAGAAAGTATTTTAACACCCAAAATCGTATTGAGACTTTCGCGTCTCTGACAATTAATTTTTCCAAGCCATAATACCCTGTTACTTCTATCAGAGTAGACTCTGAGGTTTATTTACTGATGTGCTTGTTGGTTTATTGTTTATTAATGTGCAGACTTTTTTGTTACACAGGTTTTTGTGACGATGTTATTGATTTTAATGAATTCTGCCCCCTAAGGTGATGTGCAAGAACTTAGCCACTCCGTCCCTTTACGCCATAGGATCAGAACCATGATGACCATAGTAAATAGACGGACAGTCTTCCCCTCATTAGTGAAAAATGAAGAACCATTTATTATTTGTGATACATTTTGAAAATGTGAAATCCTAGACAGAGAATAGTAGTCATAATAATATTAAATTTGGCATTTATAAATTAGAAATCTCTCTGAGGTTGAAGAGAGATGAGAGATAAGTAGAGAAAATGGCCATCAGGACAGAATTGAAGTCCTCCGAGGTGATGAAAAAGGAGTAGCAATACCTTGTGTTTGTAAAACGCCTGAGAGTTTTCAAAGCACTTTCACATAACTAATCTCAAGTGATTAGAGAATGAGCTCAATGAACATGGAAGCAGAAAGACCAGTTATCGCAGGATCTCGGTGTTAGGAGAGAATTAGAAGTCAGCTGGTCTGACACCCGGTGCTGCCCTGAAGCCATGTCCAGCCTCGCTGCATGCCATCATGCTGCCCAGGCTGGACGCCCGCGGTGACAGGCGCTCCCTAACTACGGAGACAGCTCCCCTATGTCCACGTACAAGGCTCTGACAGCACAGAAGTTCTCACGTGCTGAGCTGAAGTCTGTCTGCCTGCAGCTTCTGCCTGTTTGTCCTAGTTCTACCCTCAAGGTCATTCAGAACTAGATTAAGGCCTCTTCCACTTGACAGCCTTCAGATGCTCAAAGATGCTACATGTCTCTCGTGAGTCTTCCCGTCTCCAAACAAAATAGCCCCAGTTCCTTCAACTGTTCCTCACATAACTTACTTCTGAGTATCTTTATCATCCTGGGGGCCTCTCTTCTGCATATGTTCAAGTTTAACTCTACACTTATTAAAGTGCAGCTCTCAGAAAGGAAAGTCACGCAACAGTCTGACAGCCCAGAGCAACTCAAGCCTGGCCCCTTCATCACTGAAGGTTACAGAAGCTATTGGTGCAGCCTACCTAGACATAAGAATGTCGGTGCTCACACCCTATCTGTCCCTCATTTTGAGCTTACTGTTTACCAAGATCTCAAAGTCTGGCTTTTTTTCCCATCTACTTGTGATGTTGGGTTAAACCACATCTGTCCAGATTGTGCTTGTGAAGTTGACTTTTTAAAAGCAAGATAGGGGAGCCGACCTGGTGGTGCAGCGGTTAAGTGCTCACCTTCTGCTTCAGCAGCCCGGAGTTCGCTAGTTCAGATCCTAGGTGCTGACTTAGCACCTCTTGGCAAGCCATGCTGTGGTAGGCATCCCACACATAAAATAGAGGAAGATGGGCACGGATGTTAGCTCAGGGCCAGTCTTTCTCAGCAAAAAGAGGAGGATTGGTGCAGATGTTAGCTGAGGGCTAATCTTCCTCAAAAAAAAATCTTATGCTTTGGACTCCTTGTATCTTGTTCATTCCTCCTTCTAACTCTGAGAAAACCCTATGATTGCTTTCCTTGGATTTGGCAAAGATGAATCAATACAAGAGGAGACTGACAAATTGGTGGGACCTGCACTCTGTCTTCTCATGGACAGTGTAGCTCTTTTGGTGTCTATAACTCTTGACTCTCAACTCAGGTAGCTATGACCCTGTCTTATCGCATCATAATCTTAGATATTTCTTTTTTTCTTTTCAACTTTATTGAGGTATAAAGGACAAATAAAAGTGTATATGTTTAAAGTTTACAATGTGATGATTCGATACACATATATATTGTGAAATAATTACCACCATCAAGTTGATTAACATATCCATCACCTCACATAGTTACCATTTTGTGTGTGTGGTGAGAATGCTTAAGATCTACTTTCTTAGCAAATTTCAAGTATACAATATAGTATTATTAACTATAGTCACCATGCTGTGCATTAGATCCCCGCAACTTAGTCATCTTATAAATGAAAGTTTGTACCCTTAGACCAACGTCTCTCCATTTCTCTGGCAACTACATTCTACTCTCTGTTTCTACAAGTTTGGCTTCTTTGTTGTTTTCTTTTCAGGTTCCACATATAAATGAGCTCGTATAGTATTTGTCTTTCTCTCTTTGGCTTATTTCACTTAGCATAACATCCTCCAGCTTTATCCATGTTGTTGCAAATGGCAGCATTTTCTTCTTTTTTTATGGCTGCATGATTTTCCATTATATATATATATATACAGTCATGTGCATAGTGATGTTTTGGTCAATGACGGATCTCATATATGACAGTGGTCCCATAAGATTAATACCATATACCAGGTGTGTGGTAGGCTATACCATCTAGGTTTTTGTAAGTACACTCTATGATGTTTGCACAACAATGAAATGGCCTAATGACGCATTTCTCAGAATGTATCCCTGTCATTAAGCTGCATATGACTGTGTACCACATTTCTTTATCCATTCATCCATCAGCAGACACTTAGGTTGTGTCCATATCTTGACTATTATGAATAATGCTGCAATGACATGGGAGTAAAGACATCTCTTTGAGATACTGACTTTATTTCCTTTGGCCCAGAAGGGGGATTGCTGCATCCTTTGAGGTCATTTTGATCATTTGTATTCTTTCAGAAAAAAAAAATCCATTTCCTCAAGGTTTTCTAATATATTTGCATACAGTTAAGTAATCTCTTGTTTGATTCTTTTTATTTTCTTGGTTTCTATAATTATATCCCCAATATTGTTTCGTATTTGGTATATTTGTGTTTTTATTCTTTTTTTCCCCATGATTGTATTGGTAATGGCTTCTTTTAATTTAGTATTTTTTCCCAAAGAACTGACTCTTGCATTTATGTATTAGTTCCACTCTGTTTTTTAAAAGTAATCTTTTGCTTTTAATTTGATTAACTTTTTTCCATTCTGCATAGACTTTGTTCTGTTTATGACTTGAATTGGATGCAGAATTCACTTATTTCCATGCTTCCTTGTAGTCTTCATAAAGATGATGGTGACTGATAAAAGACACCGACATCCGCAGTCAGAGAGTGCAACTTTCCAGTAACATGGTTGAGGAGCACACGTAGTACACGCAGAGAGTGGCCCAGAGCAGGGATCAGCAACGTTCTCCCCATTGAGGGGGTTTTATTTTTCTCTTCCATTTCTTTCTGATCTCTACAAGCTCATGTTTCATCTCCTTCTATCGTGTTGCCTTGCTCAATTTTCCTTGAGCTCTTATATCTCTGCTTTGATCTCCTTTTTTATAGAGATGAGGGTTTTGGTGTGTGTTTTTTAAATTTTGTGATGACATATTTGATCACATTTATCATTTGCTCCATGGCAGCCTTTTACTCGTAAGTATCCTTCTTCTTCCATTGCCTTTTCTGTTTCTTCTCTTTTTATATTAATTTGGTATACATCTTATGCCAGTTCCTTTTAAATTATTGCTCTTCTTTGAATGAGATGACTTCTTCCTGAATTGGAGTTTGCAAGAAGTTCTGAGACAGAAGAGCCCAAGCTGTGTTCCTGGCTGGCAAACTTGCCCCAGTTCACAGTACCTGTGATGAGTTTATGCTTCCTCAGCCCGCAGAGATCAACAAGCGCAGGCTGCCAACAACGCAGCATTCCTCTCTGCTGGCCTGCCTCCCCGCGAGATTGCTTCCGGCAGGCTGTGGTCCATCTCTGGGTGTCATCTTTCAGCCCAGCTCGCTGGCTTTACCCTGGTGCCAAACTGGGTCCAGGGCACTTTCTGCCCCCAGACTATGCAATCCACTCTAGCGTTCCAAACACGCCTTGTCATTCTGCCTCATGCCACGGCCTCTGCTTTGGAGGAGCGTGCCCTCTCTGAAATCTCTGGCCACACATGTCTCCTTG